TTTTTTTTTTTTTTTTTTTTGTAATTTAGGAATATTAATGCAGAAGTGCCGTACTAAGGAAATGGAAAACCTGGGGAAATACTATATTGCTGCATCCTATGTAAAGTATCTGGAGTCTGCAGGTGCAAGAGTTGTGCCAATAAGGTATGATTCAATATTTTTTACACAGTATAAGTAAAAACTGCTGTTTTACCTTTAAAATGAGCTTTTCTCTCTCTGAAACAATTGCCTTCTCTTTTAATTGCAACATTTAAATGTGATAACATTGCACCTAATTTTTGCCACAAATCTGATGCTTAAAGTCTCTCACTAAATTGTTTGAAGTATGAAGTTATAGTTATCTCTAATGCCATTAGAGGTATGTCATATGTATTAGAGAATGAAACGATAGTTGTGTTTTTACTCCCCATGAAGGTGGTGAGGGCTTGGCTTAGAGGAGTGGTTGTAGGACTGATAGGTAAATGTTATTTAAAGAGAAATCAACACGACTTGATGACTAATGGAATGGAAGGGCACAGAGAGGAACAGACAAGAAAGAAGTTTTGAAACTGGGGAAGTTTTGAAACCGATGACTCACCAAGTACTGGCATGTGTAACAGACACTGAAAGTGTGACTGTCAGCATAGAGTTTGATTTCAAGCTTGGGTTCCCAAAGTTATTTTTTAAATAAATTGCTTTGAACTAGAATCATACAATCCTATAAAACAATGTACTACCTGGCAGCTAAATCCCGAGAGTAACCTGCAAAGGATTACCTAACGTAGAATGAGACAGAGGGTTGCACTGATAATGTCGGGTTCATTTCTGCATTTTGAACGCGGGGAGCGAGTTTGTGCGGTTTAGAAGAGAGAAGGAGAATGGGAGATGTAGGCTTAAACTGTATTTTTTTAGTTAAAGAGTGAACTATTTCTCATACCCCTTGAGAGGCTCTTTTGCTTCAAGGAAGTCTGACAACATGCAAGTAACATCTATAATCAGAGCATGTGACTTGGACTGTCTTCCCTGGCAGGCCCCTGAGTTTGTGACAACCCTCTCCCCCAGCATTCAACAACTAAGGCCCTTAATGGTGATAGGCAGGGGTCAAAACTTCAGTCATGGGCAATGTGGGAGCCACTTACTTAGAATTAATGAAATGACTGAAACTGGCCTGCATGGCTAGCTGTCAGGAGTCCCTGGGGTGCAGATGAATGGTCTCAATCCATTCTGTTTCCTGAGGGTGGTGGTTGCCCATCCTTGTTTAAATATCCATGGTGAAGATTCTGGGTCCTGAATGGATCCCTCTTTGTTGGCATAATTTGGGCAGATTGAACTGGCAAAATCCTGGGAATGGGTAAACTCACATTTCGTCCCCTTGTCGCTTCCCAAGTCAGGGCCACCTGCCCATTTATCTTCCATGTAAGAGAGTGGTAAGCACCCACTGCTTTGGGAGTCTCTGCCAAAAGGATTATTATAACTTCCAAACAGGCCTGAGCTTGCAAAGCTCATTTGGACTTAGAGGAGAGCCCAGAGGGATTTGCAGGCCTAGCACAGCCAAGGTCAGGGCATCAGAGGTGTCTACTTAATAATGGCAGAGGTGTTCAACCCCCCTAAAACTTTTCCCTGGGGCAGAAATCGACTGTAGCTGATACTTTGATGGTCAGCTTACCACTTCTTTTGTGGCAGGTTGAGAGGGCACTGTGCCTTGTCATTCTCTTGCAGAATGTAAGACTGCTAAATGGAGGGATTCATAAGCAAGTGCTCTCTTCCCTTATTCTTGCGTTTTGTTGAACTTCTGGAAGCGCAAACCCATCTCACTGTGACTTAATTAAAGGTTGTAGCCAGTTGTCACAGATTAATCCCATCCGTCTTCTCTGGAGAAGGGGGTAAAATCATCAGTAACACAGTGGTTGTTAGGAGGTTTTCACAGAACGTTTGATGGAGGTGCCTCAGAATAATTACCTGGGCAGATTAAGCCAGCCTACAGTGATCTGCATGTAGTCTGTCCCTAGATCTCGACTCTTTGAATACAGTCGTCCCCAGACCTTTGCAGTTGGTGGTGGGGGTGGGGTGAAGCAGGGTCCAAGCTTTTCTATATATTGTTTTTATCTGCCAAAGCTGCTTGTAGTTAAGATAGGCATGTTAATTAAATCTCTATTTAGACATCACATAAAATTACTGATTGGCTAAGCAGAGAAATTACCAGTGCTTAAATCTCATGTTTCTAAAAAAGTAATTTTTTCATTTTTCAATTACTGTTGACATATACAATATTATATTAGTTTCAGGTGTACAACATAATGATTAGGCATTTGTGTAACTTATAAAGTGATCCCCCGGTAAGTCTGTTTAGTAAACATCTGACACCATACATAGCTATTACAATATTATTGACTATATTTCTTATGCTGTGCTTTACATCCCTATGACTCTTATTATATGTGGCAACTTGTACATCTTAATTCCTTCACCTTTTTCTGTTTTTTTTTTTTAAACATATCTTTATTGATTTCAGAGAGAGGAAAGGAAGGGAGAGAGAGAGAGAGAGAGAAACATCAATGATGAGAGAGTCATTGATCAGCTGCCTAGCCTGCAACCCAGGCATGTGCCCTGACAGGGAATCGAACCCCGATCTCCTGGATCCTAGGTCGATGCTCACCGCTGAGCCCTGGTCCGCTGGGCCCCTTCACCTTTTTCACCCAGTCCGCCAACCCCCTCCCATCTGGTAACCGTTAATTTGTTCTCTGTATCCCCAAATATCATGGTCTTTAATATTTTGCATATGAACACATACTTAACAATATTAAATTATATTAGACCACAGAAAAACATGTTTACTTGTCTAATTAGCAAAACAAGGATATAATTATGTGGCTTTCATGTAGTTTGAAAAGATGCCTCTGGGAAGGTAGAGCGGTAATATTACCTAGTATTTAACAATTATTTTTTATCTGGCTTTAAAAAATTAATGTGGTGACTTCATTTAGAGCCTGACTGTTTTCTTAGGTTTGGGAAATGGATGTTTTGTTACTCTTTTTCTTGTTTTCAGGCTTGATCTCGAAAATGAAGAGTATGAAAAGCTTTTCCAATCTATTAATGGGTAAGTGGGCAGCACTGGCTCGAATAGTGTGTAAGATCTCTGTATTCTGCTCTTGCAAAAAAGTGCATATAAACATTCCACGTGTTTCAGTGGTTACAGTGGTGTATCATTAGTTTTCTGATTTCTTTAGAGGAATTATATTGTTGAGAAAGAGATGCCAGAGTCCTGCGGAGAAGGAAGGTTAAGACATTAATGTTATACAGTAGACATATATCATTTTTTTAAATGTGTGACATAGTCTTTGTTCTTTTAATGCCTGTCTTAAGTATTTTGAAGCCACTTTGAATAGCATAGAGTACTGCTTGCTTGGGGGATTTATAAGGCTTAAGCCTAAGGATATTAATCGGTTCTCTTTCAGAAGGTAATTTGAATAGAACTTGGCATCACCCCAAAAGATATGACTGGTTAGCTCACAGAAAAAACTTTGAATAATATGAAAAAATGTTCAACATTACTCGTAATTAAAGGAAAGCTAATTATAGCAGTTAAAAACCATTTTTAAAACTATCAAGTTAGCAAAGGTCAGAAAATCTGTTAAGTTGTATGGTGAGGGTATGACAAAATGAATATTTCCATACATTACTTAGGAATGTGTAAGTTATGTAGCCTTTTGGGGGGCAGTTTTGCTGTACCTGTGGAAATTAAAAATGCATATACCCTTTGAGCCAGGAAATCCTTTGTAAGAAATTTTATTTTATATTCCCACCACATATGAAGAGTTGGGTCCAAACATATGCACTGTAATATTGTTTGAAATAGACTCCATTTCAAAGTCACGCATTAGTCCATCAGTTGGGAATTGAGTAAATAAAGGAGACTACATGCATATGATAGAACGCATGACAGATTAAAAATCAGGATATCTGTAGATGCTGCTTTGGACCACTGTTGTTACATGAATAATGTGATACTATATGAAAAAAGCAAGGCACGTAATGGTGTGTGTGGTATCATCCCATTTACTTTGGTTCTTAAGGTGGAGGTGAGGAGATGTGTATTACAGAAATCTGTCAAGTCAACACAACAGATTTTATCGTGGGTGGCTTCTGATTGGGAGTGGGATGGAGGGAGTCTGTTTTACTGTAAAGCTTTTTTATAAAATGAGCTTTCTAAAAAACATTTTAAGCTGTGTCCGTTTATTACAATTATTTAAAAAGTCTGTGTTCAAAACTTGCCTTCAGCCTTCAGTTCAATTTGGTTAGTAAATATTTACTATAAAACAGTTCAATTTAGTAAAACATTTAAAATGCCCATTATGTGCAGTGCCTCAGGCCAGACTGTGTGATAGAACCTCAACATGGACACGAGAAAATGAGCAGCACTCTGTGCAACCTCAGAAGCACCTTTACCGACCCTGTGACGCAGTCGACCCCTCCTGTTGTGGAGGTGCACAGAGATGCAAAGGCAGAGCCTGGCTTTAAGGGGATTTGTCCGCTGGGAGGGACAGTCAAGCTTTCCTTTATGAAAGGACTTTGGGCCTCAACATACAGATTTGATCAGAGGTAGCGTTTTCAGTACTGAGTCCATGAAAAGGGAGAACTGCTAATGAGTCTTCACTAAGCCACTTTTAATTGTAGTGTTTTCTGCATAGTTTTGTGGCAGGTGTTCCACCTCGTAATTTATATGTTTTCTACTGGACTATGATCTTACTAACAGCAAAACTTTCTCATCTTTGGTTTTCCAGGCTAATACTGAGCCTGGCCCATGCCAGAAGCAGAATATAGTTGTTGAATGAACAACAATCTCAAAAGTGTTATTTCACGTATCTCAAATTCATATTTAAGTATTTTCAAAATGTTAATACATTTAATCTAACTTTTATAATCTCTTTGTACTATGCTTATTTCAAGACCTGTTATAATGTTTAAAATTTAGAGTTAATTTAAAAAGTTGATATAAAAACATAGTAATAAAAACATAGTAAGTATGTTTTTATACCTCACCTTTATGGGTAGAATAAAATAAAATCAAGTGTTTGTTACTCCCCCCCTTTTCCTCCCTAGACTTCTAGAAGTGTGATTGTGTTCTTTTTCAAAATTTTCAAATCCCATGCTTGCTTCTGAAGAGATTTCAGGGTGGTATTAAATAATTAAATTCTCATAGGTATTTAATTTTAGCCTACATATATTCTTATGATCAGTTCTTTGTGGTTAAGAAAAACTTCTTTGTGAGCCAAAATTGTCTCATAATTAATGGACCTCCGATTTTGGCATCACGGATCACCTTAATTTAAACCTATCTGCACTTAGAATTTTATCTCTACTTGAGTTCTAGCTGTGTGTACTGTCTCCCCCATCCCCTTTATTTACCTTTAAGTTATCTGTACGAAAAAGAAACTTGTTTATTAAAGAAGTTTTGGAAGAATAGGCACAAAAGTATTCTTAACTGCAATAATTTACAGATGGGTAGGATTGTAAATATTTTATATTTTCTTTTGCCTTAGTTTTCTCATTTTCTGTAATGGTCTTGCTGCTCATGTTATGAGGAAAAAGTTGTTTTGAAATAAAAAGATTGTTTGGCTTCGGCAGGGAGGGTTGAAATGCACCCTTTTGGATGTTGTTTCAGGGTCCTGTTCCCTGGAGGAAGTGTTAACCTCAGGAAGTCAGGTTATGCCAACACGGCCAAAATATTTTACGACCTTGCCATACAGGTAAATACCAGTTGTTTCTTATTATTCCAGACGGGTGGGTTTAAAAAAAAAAAAAGTTTTTCTTTATCTTTTTGAGAGAGGGGGGAAGGAAAGGGAGTGAGGGAAACATGGACAGGCTGCCTCCTGCAAGCCCCCGACTGGGGATTGAGCCCGAAACCCAGGCTTGTGCCATGACCGGAATCGAACCAGTGACCTTTTGGTGCCAGGGACAGCATTCAACCAACTGAGCCACACTGGCCAGTGCCAGATGGGTTTTTGTAATTCTCCATGGGGATGCTTCCCTCACAGTTACCCCAGCTTCATCACCGTTTCCTCCTGAGGTGTGTGCTCATGAGCAGCCAGTGGCGCTAGCGCTCGTTTTCTATTTCATTTCATTCTGGGCTCCAGGGGACCTTCAGAGCCCCCTGGCTGGCCTTCCCTGTTCGCTCGCTGATGTGAACCAGGCCCTCACGGTGGCTTAGTAAGCTGTTCTTATTATGTACTGGGCGTTGTTCACATGCCACCAATTTTCACCTCCTCTTGAAAGCTGCTTTGTCCAGACTCATTCCAGCCTAGGTGATGGATCTTCACAGGGACCTTAACTTCATTTTCAGTTTCCAAGCAGAACCTCTTGACTCCTTGTCATGTGTCACGTTGGGTCCGCCTTTGCACCATAGCTCAGACTCTTACCATTTCTCCCTGAACTCTTAACAGTAGTAATTTTCTAATCAGTAATGCTTGACCTAGTAACTCTCCCTCCCCCTTAAATATTTCCCTAAAAAGCTGCATTTAGCATATGAAACACTTGTTTGAAAACTTTTAATGGCTAGGCTAAATTACCTGTAGTCTTTTATAGCCCTTGGCGGAAGACGGATAGTGTGTCCACAGCCCACCCGGCCCAGCCTTTCCTCCTGCAAGGGGTTGAAGCCAGGCTGGTATTTGCAGCATGCATTCTGTGTCGTCCTTTTAAGCCTGGCTGGTCTGTTTCTACTGCGTCCCCCATTCACGTCTCCGCTGCCTTTCAAGGCTAAGGCTCTATTCTGTAGAGATCTCTGTGCCTCCTCCAGCCTCAGTGGCATCCCACTCCTCTGCACTTTTAGAGTATTTTGTTGTAGAATTGTTCAAACATTTATTTGGCTCCAACTGTGTACTATGAGAGGTTCCGTGACCTTAAGGGGCTTGTAATTCAGTAGACAGAGTATCTTGAAGTTAGCTGTTCTTGTCTCATCACACTTTATGGTTCTGACACCCTTTGAGGTGTTCCTCATTTCACATTGAATGGTTCCATGTGTTTAGTACTAGCTCAGGATTTAAAAAAATAAATATGAGTGAACAAAATTGAGATTTTATAATATGATTTAAAATGCATTTGAGAAATACATGTGAATGTTATTAGTCATTCTTCCTTTTCTGTCTAGAGACTCATGTGACCAGTTTGCTCAATTAAAAAACAAAAAGGAGCCGCATAACCCATAAGGCCCAACAATCTATTTAAAAAGTATATTTAATCAGCTGCTTGAAGATTTCCAAACAAAGGGAACAGCTTATCACCCTTGCACTTCTTATTTAGCTCTAGTCACCGGGGACCACGGAGCCCTGACTGAAGCAGGCCTGGGGCGTGAGTAGTCCTTTAGATCTGTTCAGGTCCGCCTGGGCCCTCTGCTCCGCCAGGCTGCAGGGGATCACATCGAGTAAAAGACGTGTGGTTCCAGCAAGCGGGGGCTTAATATTTAGTTGAGAAATTATATTTGGTACATATGGAAACAGGGAATAGTTAAACCCTTTTTTGTGTTTATTATAAGTAAATACAGTAAGACCCTTCAAGTCAAGGTATACAATTTTAACATCTAAAAATAAAATTTGCCAGACCTGTAGATAAAATGTTAAAAGTTCTACCTTGGGATAGAAAGTATCAGAATTAATGTAATTATTTTTCTCAGTGAGGAACAGAAAAAACCCCCAGCCTTGGTCAGGTTGCTCTGTTGGTTGGAGTGTCGTCCTATACGCCAAAAGGTTTTGGGTTTGATTCCTGGTCAGGGCACAGACCTAGGTTGTGGGTTTGATTGCTGGTTGGGATGCATACGGAGGGAGCCGATGGATATTTCTCTCTCTCTCCCTTCCTCCCCCCTTTTCTCTCTCTCTCCCTCTCAAAAAATTAATAAAAACGTCCCTGGATGAAGATTAAACAAAGGAAAACCCCCCAACAATTTCCTCATTTTAAATGAGTTATCATTAGGTTATATTTTACAGTCTATGCAGGAAAATTGCTGCATTTGGAAAAGTTACAAAACTCATTTTTGTACTGATTAGTGCATATGGTTTTAATCCTCAGTTAACCAGAAAACTCAGTCCCTTAGAGCACTTTTTCCCTAGTCGTGCTAGTTGTGACTTCCTTTAAAGAAACCCAGTATACTTGTACTTTTTTAGTTGACAACTTTTACTTTATGAAAACCTATTTTACTTTTGCTTAGCCTTTTCCTTATTGTTTCTTTCCTTCCAGATCATGGGATTTCACCTAATTTAAATCTGATTAGCTGAATGCAGCAATTAGTATAAATTCTGAGATAATGGAGGAAGGAGTGTGTTCAAAAGCAGACAATTATCCAAAGTGACACGATTTATAGAAGATGTAAAAATAGGCATTTTATCTAGCATTGTCTTTGATATTTATAGTCTCTGTTACTTGTATTATTTGGTAGTTGACTGGCAGATGTCAGTCTCTTTCCCAGCACAACTGAGGTTGGATAATTCGTTTGATTAAAATGGAATTATTATGTGGGAACTTGGAAGTTAAGTGGTAGCTTACTTTTGGAACATGGAAAATTCTTCAGAAATCCATGTATAACTCAGGTGCCTGCCTTGTAATGACAAACAAATGTACAATTTTTTGTTTTGAAAAGTTTGAATAAGCTTAGCTTTCTCTTTCCAAGAGTTTTGATGATGGAGACTATTTTCCTGTGTGGGGCACATGCCTTGGATTTGAAGAGCTTTCATATCTGGTCAGTGGAGAGTGTTTATTAACTCACACAGATACCGTTGGAATTACAATGCCGCTGAACTTCACTAAAGGTAAGAATTCTCTTTTTGACCCTTTAAAAAACATCAACTGGGAAGGATTAGTAAGTAGCAAATATCAAGTGAAAAGTAGCAAATACCAAGTGAAAAGAGCTCATAACATTGATTAATTTTTAAGTTATTTACACAGGTGGAGGATGTAAATGATCACTTTTGTACTTAAATTGTAAGGATGGCTTAAGGAATTTTGAATTTTGATAACTCTTTACTTCTAGTACTCTGAGGACCACACATGACTAAGAACTCTAACATTCTACCTGGTTTGGAGTCCTGACTTTGTTACTGTTGCCTTCGGGAATCATTTAACCTCTCTTAACTTCATGATTTTTTAAAAAAGTTTACCTCTTAGGGTTGTTTGTGGGGATTAAATAAGATTATGTTTTCCACGTACCGTGCTAAGTACTTTACAACTCTGATAAGTATTGGCTGTTATTATTACAGTACAGCGCCTTTCCCTTGGCTGTGTTCTCTGTTTCACCCCAGCCGGGGGGTACTGCAGTTCAGTTCTGCTAACCACCTGGAGTTAGTGCAGACTCCCAGTCAAAGGGCATCTCCCCGACTAGACTGCCCTTATTTCAGACACTGGTCTCAATTCATGTCTCCAGACCACCCACACTTCTGACCAACTGGCCACAAATTTGGAGATTCCTAAGGAACCCCCTTAGGTTCTATAATTCGTTAGAATGACTGACAGAACTCATGAAGAGCTGCGTTTACAATAGCAGTTTCATTGTAAAGGTTTTACCTAGGATGAGGCCTGGGAGGCAGCGCAGGGCTTCCATTCCCTCTCCCTGTTGAGTCGGCACACGTCACCCTCCTGGCATATCAGCATGTTCACTCCAGTGGGCTTTGTGTCGAGAGTTTTTATTGGTGTTCCATTGCCAAGGCATGATTGGTAAAATCATTGGCTGTGGGACTGAACTCAGTCTCTGGTCCCCCTCCTATCCCTGGCTCAGAGTCCTGACCTACTCTCATCCTGGGGTTAGTCTTTCTGATGACTACCCTCAGCCTGAGGATCTCTGGGGGCCTATTATGAATCACCTCATTAGCATTACAGACACTGCTAGCACTCAGGAAAGCCCAAGGGCTTTAGAAGGTCCCAGTCTGGTGGGGAACTCAAGAAACCTGACAAATTCTTTATTATACCCCTCTGTAGACAGATAATAACTCTTGTAGGTTCATTGATCTCTGAATCCTCAGAATTGAAAGCTACCAGCTCTTCTGTTCTCATAAGCATTTTGGATGGAAAGTAGTAGTGGTTTATACATGGAACCTATAGAATGCTCTTTACTTTCCAAAGCTCTTCTTCACATTACCTCACTTAAATCATTGTGCGAACCCTGTGGGAAGTATAGGTATTAGGTCAGTCCATTTTGGTTGTATGTAGTAAAACCCGAGTTTATACAAAAAAGGAACGAATTCCACTGAAGTAAGGTACTTTGATTACCTGAGGTATTGGGATTCTGATGGAAGCCAGATAGCATCCTGAACGAGAGGCCTCATTCAGGAACAGCTGGCGTCAGGGCCTTGAACACCATTGGGAATTTTTATCGCTTTGCTGGTATTTGAGTCTGTGTGTCAGGCTTGAGAGCCTTTGGTGAGCTGTATTGCTTTTTTTTTTTTTTAATTTATTGAATAGAAATTTCTTGGCCTGGCTGATGTTCTTTTCTACATCGTTGGTATTTTTAACCCTTTAAGTCCCAGATACCTTTGAAAATATGTTGCAAGTTCTGGATCCTTTCCTGGGAAAACAAATATACACGTGTGGAAATTGTACCTGTTTTTTAGGACTATCTAGAGAACTCAGGATTCTCTTGCTTACTTTATGGCTAATCAGAAGAATTTTAGTTATTCATGTTAAAGTTCCAGAAGAAAAGTACTGAACTTTGGAGCATATTTGAATTTGTAGGTTAAACTCATTTTATAATTGACTGGAAAACTTCTATGGAAACAATGTGTTTTGCTTAGTCGTCTTGATTATGTCTTAATAATGGCCTCTCTTTGACTGGAGATTAGTGACTTCAGTGGGTTTTATTTTTTCTGTGTTTAAATTGTTTCCCTTGTACTTAAATTATTTCAGGTATATTGCAGAGCAGAATGTTCCGGAATTTTCCTGCTGACTTGTTGCTGTCCTTAGCAATAGAGCCTCTGACTGCAAATTTCCACAAGTGGAGCCTCTCCAAGACGGTATCATATTAATTACATAATGAAACCAATGCATTTAGATTAATTATAGGAGTAATTATTTTGTTTTGTTTTTATACTCCAGAATTTTACGATGAATGAAAAATTAAAGGAGTTTTTCAGTGTATTAACTACAAATAATGATGGCAAGATTGAGTTTATTTCAACAATGGAAGGTAAGTATCACTCTGCATGTATACTTTTTCACATATTATGTTTATATTTATTAATTTTGATTTTATAGTTTTTTAATTGAATAAAATCATGTTAACTATGAGGCCTGAAGATGGAAGTTAGGGCACTTTTGGAGACAGGAATTGTGTTTTGTCGATGTTCCAAGCAGCTGTGGTTTACCTGGGTCATCTTGTAGTGGTGGGGGCGTGAAGAAGGGAAGGAAAGAGAGTGACAAAGAAATAAATGGAGAAAGTGGCTTCTCTTTCTTTTTTAAAAATTAAGTTGACATTAGTTAATAAAATTGTATAGGTTTCTGGTGTACAATTCTATAATACATCATCTGTATGTTGTATTGTGTACTCACCACTCAGAGTCAAGTCTCCTTCCATCACCGTTTATCCCCGTTACCCTCTTTTACCCCCACCCCATCCCCCTTCCCTCTGATGATCACCACACTGCTGTCTGTGTCCATGAGTTTTTTATTTTTCAAATTATTTTTGCTTAATCCCTTCACCTTTTCACCCAGGAGTACTGTGGATTAAGTAAGTACCTTGACAGATTCTCCTCCAGATAACAATAAAAGGTGTAACTGGCATATAGAAAAACATCTGCCTAAGTACACTGGTGAAGTGGTAAGAAAATCAGGATGGTCAGGCCAGAGACTCTAAGAGTCGAGTGGACAGGAAAACAAGACGGCGTAGGTCACAGCTGCACCCCCGCCTCCCACAGCCGCATCAGAATCACAACTAAAACCCAGAACCACCATCGCTCAGGGCCTCCTGAGATCTGGCTGCACAGAAGCCCCACTCCCAGGGGCCTGAAGGAGCACCTTCTTTCTGCCCACCCCCGTCTAGGCCTTTCAAGCCATCATTCACTCCCAGTCCTCCTTGGGTATGTGACCCCCTCTGTATCAGGCCTAGCCGCAAACTTTAGCATTAACCCCCTTCCACCTGGCTGGTCGCGGTGGTCTCCTAACTGTTCCACACACCTGCCTTCGAGCGGGCAAGGATGAAATATGTTTCTTTCTTGTGACATGATCTCCAGTGGCAGCACTCGTGGGATGTGAGAGGACAGTGCTCTTTTCCTTGGGTATTTCTACTCAGCCAGTGCTCTTTGTTTCTCCGAGTACTTGCCCATAGCTATCAGGGCTATGGTTTCAAAGCAAAAATAATAGACTGGAGTGCTTTTTTAAAATTATAATGAGGAAAGGAATATGTGAAGAAGAAAAGAGATGAGTATATACATTTTTCAGAAGGTATAAATATTATCCATATTCATATTTTTTAAAAATTGTGGAATTTTTAAGACATATATAAAAGTAGAGTCAGTAATCTAGTGAACCCCCCAGGTACTTATCTTTAAGTTTCAACAACTATTAGCACGTATGTGGCTATTCTTATTTCATACCTACTTTCCCCTCATACTAGAATATTTTTTGAAGTAACTCCTAGGGAATCATCATATATATGTATATAAAGATATTTAAGAATTCTAAAATAATTGAACTACATTACCAAAGATCTTTCACATCAAATTTAAACTTTTAAAAACTATTTTAAAAATTGGCACCATGAAGTCATGGACCATTCCAGAGAAACACAGCTTAGGCTGAGACAAGCTGGCTTGGCTTATGTAAAAGGACACCAGAAATGCTGGCATAGTTCATTCTGTGCGAATCAGTCATTGTGGGTGGGGGTGAAGATGTGTGAAGTAAGGGAGGAGAGACCCATGGAAGAAACTGTCACTCATCAAACGGGCACTTGACTAGGATATAGGATATAGTCAGAGGCTCAACTATTTTACTCTACTTTGATTAGTAAAGCGAATCATACTACAAATTGTAAAAGGTTGAAAATCAGTGAATTTCTCTGTTGTGACTGTGAACTGAAGTTCTTTATTTGTGTCTGAGAATGCGCACAATTTTACTTTGTCTGACATGGTGAGTTATAGTATGTTTTACATAGGACATAAAACGTAATTTAATTTTAAGTAACATTGGAGACATTCTTACTACTAACTACTTACTAGTTTGCTTTCTTCCTGCAGGATACAAGTATCCAGTGTATGGCGTCCAGTGGCATCCAGAGAAACCTCCTTATGAGTGGGGGTCATTCGATGGCATTTCCCATGCACCTAGCGCTGTGAAGGCTGCATTTTATTTAGCCGAGTTCTTTGTTTCTGAAGGTAATATGTGGGTATATAATTTAATCACTCTATTAGTATAATTTTGAAGGAAATGCCCCCATCTGAACTTTGATATACTCTTGCCCTGTAAATGCTCTGTTTTGAACTTAAAACAATTATGTGAAAGCCCTGAAATTGAGGTGTTAGGCATTAATAAAACCAGGACAGTGATTTCAATTAATATTGTATTGTGCTCGCTAAAGTGCTACGAATTCTTGAACAACGGTGGAAAGACTGTTGAATTCTTTTGTTTCTTCCTTTTTCTTTAAGGTCCTTCCCCATTCGTCTTCATTGTAGGAGTAATGCTTTAATTATAACGTTCTCTGAGAATTAGATGTTATATTTTCAAGGCAATTCTATAAACTGAGTGTCTGCCCATCCTTCTGGGACTTCAAGGCTGCCTCTCTGTAGGCATCGGCACATAGGAGGAAGTTCAGCTTTGCTTGTTTTTTTCATGCTGTGTTTGTGAGTAGACTTGAGAATTTGGTTGTTGATGGGTATGTTTTAGTTGAGTGATCCTGGGATAAGACAGCTACAAACACCACTTGCGAGGGATGGGCATCAGTCTGGCAAGGCGTGGCCACTGGAAACCTGAGCGAGCCTTCTTGCCTCTCTCCAAGCTTGGCCTAAGTTTTCAGAACCCTCCTGCCCACATTGAGTTCCCTCTGGTGTAGAATTATGCTCATATGAATGGGTAGTTTCATGACAAAAACTCCAAATTTAAGAAAACACTAGTCCCAAGAAACATTTTCATGTGTGTGTCGGAGTAAAGGAGAGCAGGCAGAGCAGTCTCATGGCAGGGCTATTATTTGGTCTTTATTTTCCAATATCCTTCTTTTAAAACATGCCATAAAAGCCAGTAGTTACTTTATCTTGACTTTAGGATAAAATCTGGGCCTTACCTTCTTACATCCAGACTTGGCCCACGCCCACTTCTCTGTGCTTCTGTGCCTGTCACATTTCTGCCTGATCTGTGGGAACTGCCTCACTTCTCCATCTGCCTCAGCCCTGCCAGTCTCTCCTTCCTCTTTGCTCTTCAGGCACCTCGGTGAAGACAGACTATAAAAACATTGCTCTCTATGACTCTGTGTGGTTACTAGACTAGGCTTCTTGAGTGTTAGGCCCTTGCCCTGTGTAGGTTTCCGTCCCCAGGCTCTGCGTCGGGCTGCTTTACTGGTGGGAAGTTCTGCAAGTCCTGCGAGTTGTGCATGTCTCCTTTTCGGTGCCAGTTTCCCACTCAGTGCTGCTGGTAGGAGATGTTGTAAAGTAGCCTTTTGAAAATCATACCCCGTCTTTTTACACATTCACGGCTTCTTCTCCCTGCAGCTCGGAGGAACAGTCATCGTTTCGACTCCGAGGCTGAAGAGGAGGAGGCGCTGATCTATCAGTTCCACCCTGTTTACACTGGAAACATCTCTTCGTTTCAGCAGAGTTACATGTTTAACTGAAAGCCTTCCGCATCTAACAGATTTTGCATAATTCCATGATGAAATTGTTCTAATAACTTGATACCCAGGGCAGTGATGGAAAGCCACAGAGAGTCCTTCTTTGTGATGTCACTTGTCTCTGAATCTTCATTCAGTGTTTGACTAAGTAATCCCATTTGATAATCACGAGGCAGATAAGGAATCATAGTGTATTTCCTGTAAAGACTTGCTTTTATCTCAAGAGCAGGAAAAAATAAATTTATTGAAAATACAACTATTTAATTTTTTCTGATTGATTCCAGAAATAAATACCACCCCTTACCCAGCCAGACTGTCCTTGCTGAAGACTCCCTAGTTCGCTGTGGTATCTCTCTCCTTGGAGTGTCAGGCGTGCGTGTGTGTGTGTACATACCCAGGTATTTCCCTTTCTGCTGTTTTAGCTCCACAGCTAAAGTGCACACCTCCTGAAAGCAGAGTCTGTGTCTTGGAACATTTTATCTCCCACGATGTCCAGCACAGTAGGCCCTCAGTAAGTACTTGTGACTTGGTGAATGGACTTTTCTCCCCTTGGAAAATAATTTGAATGCTGTCATGCATTTATTTGGAGTGCATTTTAATATATTTGTCATTCTGTGCTTCCCTCTCCCACCCCTCACCATCCCATAGACTCTCACAAACTCTGAAATTGAGGAATTCCTTGAGGACAGCCAAGCAGTTGGGAGAGAGGGAGGATTTTTGGAGCTGTTTCTGACAGAGTTTATGCATCTGTTCTCCTTGGGCCTCCACAGCTGCTGCTAGAGAGGTGGAAACATGGGAAACGGAGCGTGATTGGGGAAGGGGCTGGGGGAGATGAGTGACTGTATGTACAGAAAGGTAAGACCCACACTCTGAAGACACTGAGTTAAGGCCTAAGCTTTGGGCCACGGGCCAACCAAAGGGATAAGAAGGACTGGGTCGGGGGGCCTTCCTCCTGCAGCTATTGTGAGCCCTTCCCAGCCCACAGCCGATTTCCTAAGTGCTTTTAGGGAACAGTTGCCCAAGTTCTTCCCTTCAGCACTGCCTTTTCTCTTGCCTACGTGGACCATCTCAAATGGAATGGGAATGTTGGACTTAAGGACAGAACTTGTCACTTACGTCTGTTTAGCCAGGTATTTCTGAGTGCCCTCACATGTATGTAACTGGTCTGGCAGAATATGTTTTATGAAGGGACGTTGGCTCTGTCCATTTCCATACTGCAGAGCAGGAAAGTGTCAATACCTTGTCAGGCTGAGTTTCTATGGTTGAGATGGGTTAGGATGGTCTTGCAGCTTCTAAAAGCACAGTGATAAGCCACGTTAAATTATTCAGGCCCAGAACCTGGCACATGGTGGGCCCTCAGTAGGTGCCCTCTCCTTATTTCCTCTCCCTCCTCTGCAGTAACGGGACAGCCCAACATACGTGCTGTTACCTATCAGAATAGCCGGAAAATATACCCCTTTGTTCAAATGGGGAGAATTAAATAAATAGGGTCTTTTGCTCCTTAGAAACAGAAACCTTGTTACGTGGCTTGTAATTTTATTCCGCTTAACTTTCTAAAGTGAATTACATTTTTTATTCCATATAACGTTTTCATTCGAATAGTGGTTTAAAATGAAATTATTTTGCAGTAATGAATCAGGAACACTAGATGTCAGGAGAGAACCAGCTAACCCAATGTTTAGCTGCTTGTGTGTACTGGCCATTTAGAATAGTAGATTTTAGGAGGTTGCCAGAAACCCAAAGAACGTCTAATCGTACAAGCATTAAGTTTATTTAAATACTAATGGCTTATCGAATCACTAGGTTGTACATCAGAAGCTAATATGTTATATGTCAGTTGTATCTCAAAATACAAATATGAACAGCTGTATAAACATAGGTTTATACCTAATACTAGATGTTTTCTATTCTGATCAATGAGGAAGCCCTGAAGAACTTGACAGGACGAAAGCAAACAATTTTCATCATCATTTAAGGGCCAGGAATTTTTATGCACATAAATTTGTGGACTGCCTACAAAATTCCAATCCCCTTTTCCCTGCTGCGTAAACAGGCCGCTTCTAGGCTAGAGGAGAGTTTTCCTGGATGTGTCAAGAACCAGAGCCTTGTATAATGAGAAAGGCTTCTGGGGAGATGGCCNAGGCTAGAGGAGAGTTTTCCTGGATATGTCAAGAACCAGAGCCTCGTATAATGAGAAAGGCTTCTGGGGAGATGGCCAGACACGGGTAGAAGAGGAACTCTACACAGACGTGGGCCTGATTGGATTTNGTGTCAAGAACCAGAGCCTTGTATAATGAGAAAGGCTTCTGGGGAGATGGCCCACAGGGAAGGCACTGACTCCAGGACATCTACAAGCAAGACACGGGTAGAAGAGGAACTCTACACAGACGTGGGCCTGATTGGATTTTCCCCCATGGGTTAAAGTTCCTCCACAGACTGTACTTTAAATCTTGTCAGGGTTTCCCCTTCATATTTAAGGAAAAGTCTTCAATTGTGAGTTTTTCTGTTGAATGTGTGCACTTCTGCATAAATTTAGCATGCTTTTGGACTTCCGATTCTCTGACATTTATTATACTTTTTCATAAACCTAATTCTGAGCCAGTCTGTTTCATGACCCAGACACGCTTCAGAAACTTCCTGAACCACTTGAACGTCTTTTGCTGACTTTTGGGATTTGGATGCCCCGTGACTGGCAGATGCCCTATTTGCACACGTCCGTGATCCTCATGACGCTCCCCCGTTCTCTCCCCTTCCCCTCCTGTCTCCCCTGCGCATAAAACTACCAGGTGTAATTTTATGTACTTGCTCGGGTAATTATTCTCGGCTCCTCACTGGAACATAACTCACACGGAGACGGGGACTTGACGGTGGCCTGCAGGCCTGGTCAGCGCCGCTTCAATAACTGCTGGGGAGCTGTGCGCTCACTGCCGGGAAAGTCCTGCTGAACTTGAGTGTTCAGTTCAGTCCTGTACTTGAGGGATGAATTACAGTATTTTTAATGGAAATTTTGACTACACTTAACTTTTGCTTTATGCACTCACTTTACAACTTAATCCCCTGAGTAGGATTTGACTACTATAGAAGACGGTGCCCATGAGGCCGTTTTTATAAAATAAATAACAAGAACCTGGCAACCTGAAAGGTCATTAAAGCCTCTGACCACAATTAACAAGTGCTGGCGTCAATGACTTCTAACATCAAATACACTGAAAAAATGTCCTGGGCTCACCATTTCAATTTTGATAATTCAAACAACATGAGGCTTTCTTGCTTCTAATTCAAAACCTGTTAGCCCAGCATCATACAGAGAAAAACACACACACACATAAATCTAACCCCAAAAAGCACTGGAGAGTAAAACAGGTATTGAGTTGGAAGTTTTCATTTTATTTTTGTACGAGGTTATGGGGGAGGGAGCGACTGCATTGTGGTAAGTACACTAAGATTTCCTACCACACCCTGTAGACATCGTTCATTTGTAAAGTCCCCCAGTCACTCCAATCTCCTTTCCTTTCTGCCTTGCCAAGCTCTCCCCGGACCTTGCCTTTTCCTGCTCCTCCCACCCCATGCCCCATCCTTTCTTCCAGGTAGCTCATGACATTGCTAATGTCGATCAGGACAGTGTTTCTTGGTTCTCAGTTGGACAACAGCCCTGCTTCCACACTCTGTACAACAAGGCGGTGGGGGGAGTGTCCCCCAGGCCTTCCTTTCTGCTCTCTCTGGGCAGCCTCCGACCTTGGGAGCACCCGTCGGTGCTGCCGTGGGAATCCTCCTCTGCCGTCCAGCTTCTCGGCCGTGTTGAATCCTGCACCGTGGTCGAATGAACTCAAGAGTGCAGAGGACAGACGTCTGAAATAGCCACTTCCCACGATTAAGCATGCCACGCCCATCTAATTGTGATTTATTTGAATATTAAAATACTGTCAGATCTACATTAGCCACCCGCTCTTCCTCCAGATTCACTGCATCCGAAACACTGAGCATCTGTAACACCATTTCTCTGTGTCACTAAGGATGGGAATGTACTAGTGTAAATACCAATCGGAAAGCTTGAGTAGTTCCTCACATTTTCCATTCATGCTGCTTGCTGCATTATTACTCTGGATTAGTCCACTTTAGGAACAATTTGACAGGATCATCAAAGTCCTGCTCCAGTATTTAGATCCCAAGTGACAGATTTAATGGCCTTAGTTAACACCCCGATGATAGAGGCTTAATTTTATGGTTCACCTGTTTTTGCTGTTTACTGTTTTGAGCTTCAGCCAAGCTGAAGAAACTGTGGGAAAGCATAGTTCGATTGCCCATGAAAGAAAATGCCACCCTCCCTAGTGAAAAGAAAACCTAGAGTCTCCTAAGTTGGCACCTGAAAAGGACTCTCCACTTGGGGATGGAGGAAATGACCCCACGAGCACCATTTCTAGGCTCAGCCCCTAACAACCTCCCCATGAAGTCTCTTCTCTCCTTCTTTCCTCCTCTGTACAGCTGGAGACAGAGACTCCAAGGCCTTAGGTCAAGCCGGAACACAGCACGAGCCTGGGTCCCTGAATTTTGCTTGAGGAGAGCAACTCAGGGGGGCCCTAAGTTTTATGCTCTTGTTGACTGGATGTTAGCTCTGTCCTCGGAGTGGTCTCTGCTGGCAGGTCGCTGTAATACCCAGCTACTTATATGCTTTTGGGTAAGAAGGTATAGGATTCAACTTCACTGTCTAGCTTTCCCCAACTTTAAATATAAATCTTGTCCTTAATTAGGGTCAGATAATTGTAAAACCTCTTGAAATAAAAATAGAAGTTTACTCTGCTTGGGAGAAAGTACTTCTGAGTGCATTAAACTCGATGCCAGTGGCCTCCAGCCCGGGGGCCCCAAGGTGACAGCTAAAGTGAGCCATGGTTGTAAGAAGAACTTGTTGGCTTTTGGCTTGGGCCAGGGGAAGAAGAAAAAGGGGAGGGTCGAAAGGGGCAGGAGGATGAGTGAGGGAAGACTAACATTTATAGGGGGCTCACTAATATGTCAGGGCCAGTGTTATCTGCTTAACACGCATTTTCTCACTTGCCAACCAAATGGGATGGGTGTCAGTCTCCTTTCATGGAAAAGGAAACTCAGAATCTGAGAAAATTCACTGACTTAAAGATGTGGAATTAAAGAGTGATGCAACTGGGGAGGGGCCCCCAAATATCAGAAAGGCAGGACCATTAGTAATGTGAGGAAGGAAAGTCAGAGAAGAAAAGAGGGGAGGGGAACGGGGGCTGAAGTATGAAC